ACAACAGGAGAGTTTTGAGAAATTAAAGGCGGTATTGACTCAAGCACCAGTGTTGATTCAACCAGAGTCCGGGAAGGATTTTACAGTGTATAGTGATGCGTCACACTCAGGACTCGGCTGTGTTCTAATGCAGGAAGGTAAGGTAGTGGCTTATGCATCTCATCAGCTGTGACCGCATGAGTGTAATTATCCTACTCATGATTTGGAGTTAGCAGCAGTGATTTTTGTCTTGAAGATTTGGAGACACTATCTTTATGGAGAGAAGTGTTACATTTTCACGGATCATAAGAGTTTAAAGTATCTTCTGACCCAGAAGGAGCTTAATTTGAGACAGCGACGCTGGCTAGAGCTTCTAAAGGATTATGATTGATTGATTGATTATCACCCTGGTAAAGCTAATATTGTAGCGGATGCTTTGAGTCGAAAGGCGGTAACAGAGTTGAGATCTTTAATGGCCATGATGAATTTATATGACGATGGCACTCTGTTAGTAGAATTACAAGTTAAGCCGACCTTGGTTGATGAGATCAAAGCTAAGAAGCCCCTTGATAGCTCCTTGCTTTTCATCTTTGAGCAAGTAGAGCAAGGGACAAGCTCAGATTACGCCCTTGATCAGGATGAAGTTTTATGCTTCAAAGGTCGGTATTGTGTGCCTGATGATGCTGAGTTGAGGCAGACTATCCTTACGGAGGCTCATAGTAGTCCATATGCTATGCACCCCGGTGGAGATAAGATGTATCGGAATTTGAGAGAGAGGTATCATTGGGTCGGCATGAAGGACATCTCGAATTTTATGGCGAGGTGTTTGACTTGTCAGCAAGTTAAAGCGGAACATCAACATCCATCAGGTTTGTTACAACCTATCAAGATTCCTGAATGGAAATGGGAGCGTATTACTATGGATTTTGTTACTGGTTTACCTATGACTCCTTAGAAAAATGACTCAATTTGGGTGATTGTTAACAGACTTACAAAGTCAGCTCACTTCATTCCTGTACGGGTAAATTATACGTTGGACAAGTTGGCGAGGTTGTATATTTCAGAGATTGTTAGATTGAATGGTGTTCCGTTATCTATCATTTCAAATCGAGATCCGAGTTTACTTCGAGATTTTGGAAGACGCTTCATACAGCTTTGGGTACGAGTTTAGATTATAGTACCTCTTTCCACCCACAAACTGATGGTCAATCTGAGAGAGTAATTCAGATTCTGGAGGATATGTTACGGGGTTGTGTAATTGATTTTTATGGTAGCTGGGAGAACTTTTTGCCTTTGGCTGAATTCGCTTATAATAACAGTTACCAGACCAGCATTCGTATGGCACCCTATGAATCACTCTATGGGTGTAGGTGTCGCACCCCGATTTGTTGGACTGAGTTGCGTGATAGGAAGACTTTGGGACCTGAGTTAGTGCGGGAGACGGAAGACACAGTCAAATTGATCCGTGACCGTCTGAAAGAGGCATTTGATAGGCAGAAATCTTATGCAGATCAAAGGAGGAAGGATATACAGTTTGACGTTGAAGATCAGGTTTTTCTCAAGGTATCTCCACGGAAGAAAGTATTGAGATTTGGGCGTAAGGGTAAACTGAGTCTGCGATTTATTGGGTCGTATCGTATTCTGAAGAAAGTTGGACCTGTTGCTTATCAGCTTGAGTTGCCTTCCCATCTTAGTCGTATTCATGATGTTTTTCATGTGTCTATGTTAAGGCGATACCGTCCAGATCCATATCACATCATTCAAGTTGATGAGATAGAGCTGAGACCTGATTTGTCATATGAGGAGGAGCCCATCCAGATATTAGAAAGAGACGAGCGAGTACTTCGGAATAGGCGTATTTCAATGGTCAAAGTTCAATGGAGTAACCGAGGCCCCTCAGAAGCTACTTGGGAGACATTGGAGTCAATGGAGGCTCAGTTTCCTCAACTATTCTTATAAGGTAAATTTTGAGGACGAAATTTCTTGTAGAGGGGGAGAATTGTAACAACCCGAATATTTACAAAATAGTATTTAATTGAAATTGGAGGTTAATTGTGAAAATTGGTGAAAATTTAGGGACTAAATTGAAAGATTTTAAAACTTAGAGCTTGTTTTAGAGTTAAAAAAAATTCAAGGACTAAGCCCTGAATTTACCCAAAAAAGTTAGGTAAGTTTGGGGTTATATGTTATATACGTGTGGTTTCTGTTTCAAAAACAGAAAACCACACTCCCAAATTCCCTTCCCCCTACGCCGATTTCCGACTTAGATCCCGACGCCGTCCGAATTCCGATCGTCGTTTTGAAACCACCGTTGTGTTCATCATCGAGCGAGAAACAAACCCTTCAAATTAATTGAAGCGAAACGCTGCCAAATGTCGGGAATTTCCAGTCAAAGTCTCGACGTTTTATTTAGCTCGATCACCGGGAAAATCTCAAATTCATCACCGATCGTTGCTCCGTTTACGACACCTCCTGCACCATCGTGTTCCTTGTGTCGTTGCGAGTCCGCTGGTGTCAACCTTGTTCGTCGTCAACGGCGGCGCATGAGGAGGTGAAGCAGTCAAAGATTCGGCCGAGTTGAAATTTGAGCTCTCCGCCGTTCAAAATTTGAACCGATCGTTGTAAGTATCTCGAAATCGCTCAAAATAAGTTTTGGAAATTTTTCTGTAATTTTTAGACCCCCGGAGGTGGTCTCACGCGCTGCCGCAGGGAGAGTGAGCAGCTGGAAAACCGGTTTGACCAGTTTTGAACCGGTTTTGATCGGTTTGACCGGTTCGAACTGGTCTGACCGGTATGAACCGGTTTGACCGGTATGACCCGACCCGACCGACCCGACCCGACCGTTGACCCGACCGTTGACTGTTGACCGTGACCGTTGACCTTCTTTGACCAAAACTTAAAATGGCTTTGATCGACCATTAAACGACCGTTAATCTTTTCCGAGTATACCTAATCTGATAATTTTCGACGTCCCGAATCCGTTTCTGAAGTCCGTTTCGTCAAATTCAAACCCGAAGGCCTCCAAATCAACGGTCAAAGTGGTTGACTTTGACCAAGAATTTAAATTTTCGAAAAGTCATACTTTATGTTTTTCGACATCCTGATTCTGATTCCGCAATCCGTTTGACCAAATTCAGACTCGAAATCTTCCAAATTGATAATCAAACCCTGAAAATACTTATATACTTAAGAATTTTAGCTTTGAACAATTAAGTAAGATTTGGGGCTGATAAATTATTATTGTTTGAAGGTACAAGAGATTCTCCGGATCGTTCGACAGCTCGACCCAGCTCTTCTAGATCAGTTAAACCACGTGTGCCAGTATTCACCCGTAAGACTCGTAAATTTTATGATTTTAGAGATTTATTTATGTTACCCATAAGTAATATAGGGTTATTATAAAATAGGTTCAAAAATCGTAACAGAGCGTGGTGAAACCAACAATCAGTAGATCTACTATTTGAATCTATTATCGAGGTGTGTTCCCTAATTATTACTGAACTATTTTATTGGTTTTAATATGAGGTACACTGAGTTCTTTGGTTACTGTTTTATTGATGCACCAATTTAATGTGATAATTTATGGAATTTGTGACACGGTGCAATTGAACTTTTGGATTGAATTACAATAGTATAGCTCTGATCAAGCTAATAAACAGAATGGGCCTAATGTGACTCTTGGGGCCCCAAGATACATTAGGTTGGCTTCCCTTGCTGTGTGCTTAGGGTAAACTATATGGACTTGGACTTACGGGCCTAAGGATACAAGCTCTAAAGCTTATCATTAGGTTGGCTTTCTTTTTGTTGTGTGCTTAAAGTAAACTATATGAAAAATAGTTTTGGGAACTACTGATAGTGTACAAGAAAATGGTTTAAACTATGATTTTCAAAAGTTAAACTCTTTTATGAATTTATGAGATTTACTGGACTATGATTTGTTTAATGTACCTATTGTGATTTTAAGGTAATATTGGGACACACTGAGCCTAGCTCACCTTTCGAAAATATTTTTCCCCTTTCAGATACTGTTGGTTAGATATCTCGGTTCGAGCACTTGGAGGATCAACATATCTCTTTAAGTATATCTGATTGTAATGTTTTATCTTGCTAGTTGACTTTATTTTGGCGACATGGACCTTATTTTAAAGTATCGTATTTTAGGATGATGACACTTTTACTATTACTGTTCGGTTTATTGTGATTTTGATTTTGAAGACCTGTTTTAAATTAATTTATTATTTATTGGTATTATATTTACAAGTTAGGTTTTGATAGTATAATATCATGTCATTTATAATGTGATTTTACAATGATTGAATAACGGTTTCAGAAAATGTCTTTAAGAATCATGTATGTGATCTACTAAACTTAGTCGAAACGCATAGACCGGGTCTAGATGGTTACACGATGAGCCTAGCCCTGCAAGTTTTCATAAAATTATCTATAATAAAGCCCTTGTATTTGATTGCACTAAATAAAGTGTGAGGTTAATCTCAGATTTCAAGTGTTTTATTTGAAATTATTATTTTTAATTTACAAATACAATTACAATTAGAATTACAAATTATATACATTCAATTAGTTATCACGTGTGATAATTTTAATCAGTCATTGTAATCTATAAGTCCATAATTGAGTATAATTAAAATCTCCAATTACACTATTCAATTCTTGAAAAGATAATAAAAATCGATGTAATTACTTCCTTGAATTTTACAATTAATAATATTTTAAATATGTAAACTTATATAACTATATAATTACAATTTGTACTACTAAATATGACATGAAAAAAAAAAAGATACAATCGCACACTACCAGTCATAAAAATTTAAAATTTAGTGCAATCACACTAAAGTCTAATTAATAATAATAATAATAATAATAATAATAATTAAATTTTCACATAATTACACTATTAATGTCCAAACTTTCAACGGATTAGCCAATTATAATTTTGTTGTTGTAGGCAAAGCAAAAGATTTAGGAACAAAATAGTGTCATATTGCCGATAGCCAATTATAATTAAATAGTCTTGTATCAACAATCTACGAAAATTACTACTATGGATGAATATGGATACTTTCTTGTCTGTCGACTGCCATTTGAATGAACAAGCTATAAAATTATGCTGCCTCAAAGGTTCAGATCTTGCTAAAGATACAAACTGCCTACTGAATATACGTCAAATGTTGTTCTTATTGATCAAACTCTGTCCGACTATAACGGTTTTAAGAAGATAAGGTATGGACTCACCTTGGTCTACGGCTACGGTTTATCTTCATCGGATGGAGAGCTTGGCTGGTCGGGTATGGAATCAACAAAAAACTCCTCCACTGAAACAAGTTAGATTAATTAGTGTATGGTAAAAAAACTGGCATGCAGAGTATTACTTTTCAAAATGTCACATTGATGCAAGTTGCCTATCTATTACTAGAACTCACAAGACTGCCAAGATCTTAACTGCACATGTCGATAAATTTGAGTATATGAAAGGTCTGGTAAAATCATATTTATGCCAGTTAAAGTTATGTCATCTGAATTAGGATCTAAGGGTCGTATCTCCGTACCCATGTCTGAACATATGTTAGAGACAAGTACTTGAAGAAAAATCAAGGGTTGAAAAACATCATATGGTATTAGTATCATTCTGTTAATAGATATAACAATATCTAATCAACATCCTACAATATTTCAAAGTAGGCATCGAAGTAAATAGCATTGTATAATCTCATTACCTATATCCTCTTGCTCTGAAGAATCAAGCAACATTTCTGAATCAGAGGGAAGAAATGGAGAACCCGGGTAGTTCCCAAGGGCTCCTAAATCTGTAAAAAATCCGTAATCCATACTTTATGAGAACAATCTCCGAAAAGAAAAAAGAATTAAATAGCAGTGAGGCAGTACACAAATTATTAAGCGCAGGAAATTGAAAAGCAAATACAAAAGCCTGAATCTCAAATGTGTGTGTAGGTCTCATAGCCACAAAAAAGTTACCTCCCAAGTTTGACAAGTCTACCGTCAGATCGATGAGATTGAAATTCCACTGAATCTGATCCAATGATCTGAGGGATTCTCTAGAATTCCCAGTTCCATTTTCCGGTCCCAGCTGCAACCCCACTGAACTTGCCACATCTGTTGTGAAGGCTGAATCAAGTGCCGATGTATCTACTCCCATCCCTGACATGTCTGATGCGGCGAAGGGAAAATTCCCACTCGATGCAACTGATGTAGGGCTCACAGGCATCTCTGACACAGATGATATGGTATTGGTTGGAGGAACTGCAGGTTTTACATCAGCGGCATTGTTGTCCATCAACATGCTAGAATTAGAAGAGAAGAAGGTTACTTGACCAGAAATAATAAACTTTTTAAAGCCAAAAGCAGGGTATAACAAATGGGTAAGGTTGGAAATAATTTGACAAGAAATTAATATCTAAGCACTCTTTAAGAATGCGGTAGTAAAAACTATTCATGTAGCTAAGCAAAATGATACCAATAACAGCTAAATTGAACAGAGTTGATGTACAATAATGCGATAAACCTTAATACAATCATGCATATTTTGCAATCTAACCAAGCAGATATTTTGCAATTACTCAAATGGTTAATTAGGCAACCTATCTTGAAAGAAATAGCATAAGTTGAGCACGAGATCATGAAAATAAAGAACAGCGTATTCACGCGTACAGGTAAGGAAATATTTGTAAGGTTTACAAATTACAGGCTACTAACAAAAAAAAAAAAGATGGTGAACTTCTTACTCTTTCCCAGAATTCATATGCATAGGTTGAAAATTGCAGGGTGCAGGGACTCCATTGACCACGTGACAGCTTGATATGCCCATAGAGTCAAGATGGGGTTGCCCTGCAGCTGGAATTGGAGGTCGCATCACAGGGTATCCCATTGGTAAGTTGTTAACTGCACTGCCAATAAGTGGTGTTAAATAACCACGACGGTGACAGCCATACAAACCAAATACTTAGAACTCCCACAATAAATTATCTGACACAAAGTATATTTCACAGATACCGATCACAAAAGAAAGTTATGAGTTTGTTTCAATGGCCTATACTTCTCACTAGTTCTCCTAATAGAGAAGAGAACTGTGAACTTACTAAATTAGAAATGATCAAACAAACAGCAATAGACACCGTATCAAGTGGAAAATTACAAAACCAATCTCTACAAGTGTTTGAAACCGAAGTATCTTTTTCCTCAAGTTGTGAACTTGAAAAGAGAAATTTGATAATCTAACTCAGAAATTGTTATATCAAGTGACAATCATAAATATTTATCACATTCAAAAAAAATTCTACAGCGACCAGCGATGATGCTACTAATAAAATATATTAAAACTTGTGGTTATTTCATACCAAATAATGATCACTTTATAAGTTAACTAAACAAAAACAAGCTTGTGTCTATTATTTATTTAGTCAGAACATACCGGGCATGGAATGAATGCCATTTTGTATTGGGGCCAGAGGAACTTTTGGAGGTACAGGATATTTCATCATATGATATTGATGCTCAAGAAAATGGTTAAATAAAAGGATTTGCTTCTTCAACTTCAGCCTTATGTAATAGGCCCTGAAAAAATCAGCATTTTCCTCTTCCAGCTTCTGCCATACTGAATATACAAGAACAGTAAAGAAACAGAGTTAGCACCCAATTCAATCACATTTGAACAAGAAATGTACTTGACTCATGGCTAAGATAACAAATTCAAAGATATCATTGCAGTAGGTTGGTTTTGGTAACACGTTCTACCTTATGCATAAACATTCAATGCATTTTATTGAAAATTTTCAAATCCACATACATATATGTGTGTGCACGCACACAAATTAATAAAGATGTTTCAGGAGAATACCTAATGTTGTGAATCCAGGGTCTATCCTTGCTCGAGTCAAGAGGGTTTTGACAACCTCGTCTCTATTCATGTACAACTGTAAACATCGTTCAATTAAATTCTGGACCTGCAACAATCAATTTACATAAATCATTAAATTGCACATAACTAATAGAAAAGGATATAAAAATCCATCTAGCATTGAGTATCATGGATAGAAAGAAAAAATAAACAAATAAATAAAATAGACAAGGGATCGGTTTCCTACGAGTTCAATATCTTCGCGTGAAACTTTTCGACCATTGTTGCTTGAAGCGGATAAAGAACCGGTGTCTGCTAAGGGGACATCTGTTGTTTCATTGTTCAGCTGTTCCCTTTTTGGTTCAATGGAATCTTGAGTAGAAGGTTTTACGTCTTGTTTGCTCTATTATTTGAACAGAATTTATCTTCAAGTTAGTGTCAAGGGATAACTGATAAGCAGGTTAATGCAACAGTAAGAAAATATGCAAACAGTTATTTCCATGTTACTTCTGAAGTAACAACACCTACAATTCTGAGCAATGACTAATTAGCTAACTTCGAAGTGAGCAATCGTTTGTATGAAAAATTACTTATTAAAAGAGAAACACCTGCAAGTTCTTCATTCCAACTGAAAGCCAACAGCCTGCATCTCTTTGTTTGGCTCAGACAATCCCTACCAAAGACTATTTGCAGCTGAGTAACCATATACAATGTATGAAAAAAAATTCAAAATCACAATGTTGTGAGCGAAAAGCACCACGAAGAAAATTGTTCCAGATTAGATGCTATGAGTTAAGTTTCGGCAGATAAAAATACAGCCAATGTTCACAATCGCAATGAAACAATAATGTACCCTATATGCCACTCACTAAGATTATAACCTTTTTCCAAAACAAAAGAAATATACCTAGTTATGATCAAGCAAGTTCTCCGATTAATTTCCCAAAAATAATGACATTAATCATCATCAACTCCGGCGCAAGTGAACCACATGGCTCAAATCAATCGTTAGGTTGGATAAATTAACTCCAAACTTACCAAAACACATCCTAGTAATTATAGATTCACAAGGCAAGAATCAATGGAAAGAACCACAGTGTTTCATTACTTAAAAATCATTAACATATAAAACCCTTTGCTCCCTCTTCAGTTTACTTGTGATACTATAATTTCCAACAGCAAGTTATGCGTCACTCACCTTTTACTGAAAAAAAGAAAGATCATGAGCTTTCTATCTAACTAAACAGATCTAAAAATAATTACACAAAAATTGCAATAGTCATAACCGGCACATTGTTTATTCTTTTTTCTCTAGAAACAATTCCAGCTTTTCAATTCCAAAGCAGACGTTCCCCATTTAGCAAACAACGAGTAAAAGACACGATCAATTTCAATAAATAAAACGAATATTTATTTTAGAAAAAGCTAAATGATGCATTTAGATACAGTAAACATATTAATAATTAGAAAAGTGAACCACAACTTTAAATTTAGCAATTCTATAAAAAGAAAGGAATAAATAAGCACAGACCTGGCTAAAATTACCTTAAAAAAATTCTCGACTCCAGAGAGCACGCAAAAAACTAAACTACTGAACCTTTTTCACTTCGACGAGCTTAGACATTCAAACTCCAAGATCTAAGAAACGCGTAATAAAAAAAAGCGTAGGAAATTCTACTGTACCAAACAGATACAAGTTCAGAAGAGTTGCTTCAACGGTACCTAGGAAGGATTCAACGGAAGATTCCCGATTGAAGCCGAAATTCAAGCGCTTAGGGCTTCAGAGATGCTTTGCGTTGATATTTGTTCCAGAAAATAGAAATTATTTTTGAATGAAAGAAAAATGGACCACAGCAGTAGAGAAGTTTACGGAAGATTGTGGAGTGGAGCTTTTAGGGTTTATAAATTAGTAATGTTGCTGTTGAAAGCCCAGAAAAAAGAAAAATCTCTGCGAAGTTAATATAGCTGAGCTTTTTCTTTGGCATTTTATTGGAGTTTTGAATTTTCTGATAGTAAATTAAAATGCATCCAATTGGGAGGAAAACGACTATTGAATGAGCTTTCAATTTTTCGTTTTATTTTGTGATTCAAGATTTAGATCGATATTATAATATGATTATAATATAATTAATAGATTATTTTCATTTTTAAGATAAATATAAATATAAAACAAATTAAAATTAATGTATATGTTGTGATACATAAATTTAAATTTTATTATTATTATTATTATATATAACATTTTAATTACGTTTTTATTTTTACAAATTATAATATGTGATTGAGTAACTTCGTTAAATATCATATTCATTAAATGATTCCAGTGGTAAAATAAAATATATTCTTCTTGGATGTCCCGAGTCAAGCAATAATGTTTACATAAACCTATAAACATATATTATTTTTTGATCACCAAAAATATTAAAAAAGATTATATTAACATACACAAATAATAGTGTTTTATTCAACATGCTAATTTCACCATTTAAAAAAATACTTGATTAAAAAATCGAATACCACATTGAATACCAAAAATTATATGTATCATTTTTCAAAAAGTGAATAATTGAAATAGAATAAGAATTTGTTAAAAAAAATAGAATAAGAAATACATGTATATAATTAAATCAAAATCAACAAATAATATGTATAATTAGATCAAATTAAAGTTTATATATTACATTACACATGACCTAAATTCATATTTAAATTAAATATTTATATCAAAGTTTAATGATACATGAGGATTTCTTAACCCAACTCCAATGTACCAAATAATTTATCCATAAACCCTACAAAAATAAAATTCTATAATTTTGAACAAGATATCATTACAAGTACGGGTGTAAATGAGCTGAGTCGAGCTCGACTCGACTCGAAAACTCACGAGTTTAAAATTTTCAAACTCGACTCACCTCGAAATCCTGAACTGAAGCTCGTAAGCAGTTCGAAAAGGCTCAAAATGGAAAAACAAATCTTAAACTTAACTCGATTGAAGCCTCAAACTCAAACCCGAACATAAACCTTAAATAAATGAAAATCTTACTGTATTTAAAAAAATTCAATACATAAATATTAATATTATTAATAATTTATTTTTGAAAAAATAAAATCTTAATATATTATATTTTCGAGCTGCTCACGAACTTCTCGAGTCGCTCACGAGCTTCTCGAGTCGAATAACAAGTAGCTCATTTTGGCTCGTTAAGAACTCGAGTTCGAGTCGAGTCCATTCGATCCGAGTATTTATCGAATATTGATAAAATCGATCTGGAGTAACTCGCGATATGTCTCATCTTATTTACAACCCTAATTACAAGCAAGAACACAACATTCCATGCAACAACCATCTAGCTTCTGTTTCTCTTATCAACCTTTTTTTTTTTACCATGTAGTAAATGTCATCAATACAATGGTAACTTTCAACAAGAAAGTTTACAAAATTGAGAGCTTGTTAGAGTGCGTTTGGTTCACTAATAAAAGTTTATCAGAGAATAAGATTATTGAGAATGTTGTATTTTGTGTTTGGTTAGTTTAGATGAATGTAAGATTATCGTGTTTGGTTAAAAGAATAAAATATTATTAGAATGTATATTTTACCAAATTTTCATTATTATATATTTATTTTTTTAACAAGTTGAAAAATATTTATACATTTTCTTTAAAAAAAATTAAATTCATAAAATTTATATAATTTTTTTTTACAAAATTGAAAATATAAAAAGGTTTAATAAAAGGGTAAAATTTTATTTTACCCCTGGACTTCATATAAAATTTTAATTATAGATTTTTTTGTAAATCTAAAATAGTTTAAGGATAAATTTGTAATTTAACCTTCGTAGAATTTTTATTATTCAACGACAAAATAATGATATTTTTGAAAGAATTTTTTTAAAGGGCATTTTAGTCTAAAACGTCGGTAATCCAACAATATTTAAGGAAATAGAGATAATGACATTCCTGGTAATATACCAAAAAAATCTACTATTGGTAATGTAAGATTATCGGGAATAACATTCCTGGCCAACCAAACGGGGGAATGTGAATTTTATTCTCATGAGAATGTGGATTTCATTCCTATGAGAATCTCACATTCCCCCAACCAAACACATCCTTAGAGACTGAAATTAAAAATGGGGGAAAGTAAAGCCTATTAAAATGTTGGAAATTTAATCCTAATCACTAGGGTTTATAACATGATATGTAGAACTTAGATGCAATACTAAAGCAACCCTATTTCAATTACAGTGTGTATAACCCTAAACTGAAACACTAACCACTATTCTGTATCCTGCATTCCTTTCGCCATTACTCTGTCGCTATCCTCGAAAAACCAGGCAACTTCAAAAATGGTTTTCGTCGGTCGTGGTGTACATACAAGCACAAGCCAAGAAGCATGGATGACACCATCTCGTGAGAACACTCGCTAAGATTCACTCGATCAGAAAATCCACTTTTTGCAGAGTAGTTTTCATGTAGACCGGTTTTGCAACATCTTCGAAAGAAACTATATTTCAGACAAACAAGAGATAGTACCTCAGGAGGTGGGCGGAGAAGGCTGGTCCAGTGACAACTGTTGTGCAGAGCACTACGAAACCTTTGCTCATATACACCACTTGAGCAAATCCCATCACTTAGCTGTGATATTTCATTCATTCTCGAGAAACCCACCAGTCCAAGAGAGCCAAATTCTAGTTGTTCAGCAGGGTTATCATAACTAGAATTATGATCATAAGGACACAACATGACAACAGATGGAATACAACAAGGCCCATTAGATGACACCCCATTCGAATTCATGGCTGGTAGTGGGTACATGCCATATGGCATGCTAGCAGAACTACTTTGTGAAGGGTTTGAGCAGACTGGTCCATTCCGAGACTGGTACGATGTAAGCGAAACATGTTTATGTGAGCCCCAAGACCTTGATTTTTCATCTCGGTTGCGACCATGGCTATGCCAAGCAGTTAGTGACTTTGTATTGGCATTCCAATTCCCTTCTTTATCACCATGGTAGCCATTTTTGTCGTAATTATACTTTCCCCTCCTTGTATTTGCAGAATGGCGTTCTGTCATAGGGACTTTCTAAAGTAGAGAACAAATCATAAACAAAATTATTGAAGGCTATAGTTCTCAAGGTTGAATGACGCAGAAATGGAACCAAAAAATATTAAGATCACTTCAAAATAATAATGAAACAGACTACTGTAGTAGTATCTTATGACCAATATAACACTGCATTTCAAATGATCGTTCACAACGACGGTACACAACACAACCAAATAACGGGGAATGGGAAAAACAGGACTCCGTAACCAACCTTACTCTCAAAGCATGCAAAGTTCAGGGCAGATATTTCAAGTAATAAAAGCTCATAACAGATTGTCATAAGTCACTTACAGGGTTTGGCAGGTATGTCCCTGTACCACTGTGATATCTTGGAATTTCATCAACATTCCTTGGGAATACATTGACAGGTCTGTTCGAAACAGATTGGAGGGGTGTAACAGGAAGAATACGAGGCCCATAACTTGTAAGTTGAGAAAAGAGATTCATGTTGGTAGAAAGAGGTCTCCTGGGACCGTCCCATGGGAAATGACCTTGTAAATAGACCGGTGGCACCATAACGGGTGAAGGATAAATCAACATTGGAGGATCTCTAGAATTTTGGTAAAACCGTCCATACTGCAAATTTTGCCAATGATTAGCAATGTCACCTTTAAGAATGTCAAATTTATGCTCAGATGATTCAAGAGATGAAACCTTTTTCATAGAACTAGAAGTACTTGACACCTCAGGCTGATCAAGTCCCTCGGATGATTCAAAAAATTTACCAGAATCATTGTTATCCAAACCTTCATCCCAACTAAAAGGGCTTGTTGATGCATCTGGAGTTCCTTTTTCTTCTAGAATGTTGCACACAGGACAGAACAAAAATGGAAATGGTGGTCCTGTTACCGTGAAGGCCAAGGGAGGAACTACAGACTTATCCATTGTTCTTCGGCCCGAACTTGGACCTGAGAGGAATGGAGGAATACGAAACAGTGGATCTGATCTGCTTGTCTGAGCTTCCTCAAATCCAGGCATTTGATGCTTTTGATTAGGAAACAAACCATCCGGTTGAGGTCCAAAGCCAATAGTTCTTTCAGCCATTTCAGCGCCCAGTATTGATGGCGGATCGGCATCATCATCTACCTGCAAGGAATGCCCAGATAAACTCTTACCATTCACACATACAGCAGAAGGAAGCACAGAAGCATCTGTTTTCCTACCTTGTTTCTCCCTAGCAGGATTAAAGACCCTTGTTGATGACTCTTCCCAATAAGCTTCTGATGAGGTTTTACTCCTGATTGAACTAGTATGTGAAGCAGGCATGGATCCAGAACTCATAGCTCTTTTATCTAAGTAAACATCACTAGCTCTATTATCTTGATAGTTGAAAACATTTAGACGATGTTCTCTTGGTACTCGAGTTTCTTTTGTAAACTTCTGATGGGCTTTAGTAGAACTACCAGAGCTGCCAACCCTAGACCTTGCTGAAGTTGAAGGCTGTTTATCATCTGACTGAAGCATTTCAAAACTTCCATTTTCAAAATCAAAACCACCATTAGAACCTCTTTCCTGTTCATGCCATAACTCGTGTTCCACTCCCCCAGGGTCAATTTCTTGAGAACTAAAATTACTACTACTGGGCTCAATTGGATTCTCTGCATTTGAGGCTAATTCAATGCCAGAAAAATAGTGGGCCAAAGGATAAGAGACCAATCCATGGGGAAACATTTGAATATTCGTAGGAATGAATCCACCCAAATTTCTTTGATCATGTTCTTCTTGATGCATTCCTTGTGAATCCGGAACTGAAGAAAAATCCTGAGTCATAGTTCCCAACCCTAAATCATCTTGGATACTATTTAGAAAGCTGTTAGGATCAGCTGTGTCAATGCTTTGACAGGTTGGAGCTTGCCTAATAGATGAGGATCATCATGTGAAGATTTAAAGTAGCTTTATTTAAAATTTTGATTCAAATCAAATTTTAATATAATTAAAATTACAAATATTTAAGATATGGCAAAAATGTAGCTTTAGATTTTAAATATTTGTTATCGTAACTTTTAATTATATTAAAAATTGATTAGAATAAAAAATTTAAATAAAAAAATGTTATTAACATTTTTTTGGTAGATTGTATGCTTAGTACCGAAACTATCAGTTTTCATCCGATTTAGCATTTAAACTATCAATTTTCTTAAAAATCATATTTAATATTTAGTTTTTGTTTCATTTTAGTACCCACCGTTAAAAACTTAACGAACAAGCTCATCGATCGCTGCGTCTACAGTATTCAGCTGTTGCATTCTTTAGCTGATAAAGCTCAAACTCCTAAATATGATTTCGGTCTCTGTTTCATCGAAAAATGTCTCAATCCTCCCAAATCGACGATGGAATCTTCGACTTCTTCATCCTCGGATCTCCGTCGTTAACAGTCTGATGTGCATGAAACTAGATTATGTTACTCGTCATTCTCTCGTGGTCCACCATTCAAATTGATTGTCCGTCCAACGGAGCTATGCCCTGTCAGCCCGTTCGTTAAGTTTTTAATGACGGATACTACAATGAAACAAAAACTAAACGTAAGATATAATTTTAAAGAATTGAAACTTTAAGTTCTAAAATATACTAAAACTAATAGTTTATGTACTAAAATCACAGTTTACGCTTTTGTCTTTATAAAACCAAAGATTCATTATCTTCTCCCAGAAAAAGCTTCACCAACCCACGTGCCATCAAAGCAACAGGCATTACACGCACTCAAATAGCTCATAGTCTCGAGCTCTCGATTCAGCCGCCACCACCAGTCCACCATACCTCTCTCTCAAAAAACCTACACAAAGAAAAACTAAAAAATAATAAAGAAAAAGAGAAAAATGCGGAACCTCTTTTTACTATAAATCGCTGCGAAGATCCGATCCTATCGGTTGCCGGATTATCCTCCTCGATAGTCCCGTGAGCTCGTCAAACTTACCAGAAAAACGACTTCTTACGGTTACTTCAAAGATTTTTGTAGTGTTTTTTGGTTTTCAATGGCTTCGGAGGATGTGAAGACTAGCGAATCGGCGGTTTCGACGATCGTTAATCTAGCCGAGGAAGCGAAGCTAGCGAGAGAGGGCGTCAAGGCCCCAAGCTATGCTATTCTTAGCATCTGCAAGTCTCTCGTTGCCGGCGGCGTCGCTGGTGGACTGTGAGCTCTCTCTTTTTCTCACTATGGACTGTTTGTTTGTGTCGACGGAAAAAGACATTTGAATATCTCGACTTTTATTATTTGGAAAATAAGCGTGAAAAGATTAATGCTTCGTTTAATCTAAATCTTTTTCGATATGCAGGTCACGAACTGCCGTTGCTCCTTTGGAACGTTTGAAGATATTACTTCAGGTTTTTTTTTTGTTTAATTTCTTTGGATTCTATCGTATTCAGAAAGATGAGTCATTTGGTTTCCGAAATGATTAACTTCTCTTGGGGGGGGGGGAAATGCAGGTTCAGAATCCGCATAATATCAAATACAATGGAACAGTTCAAGGCTTGAAGTACATTTGGAGAACGGAAGGTTTTCGTGGATTATTCAAAGGAAATGGTACTAATTGTGCACGGATTGTCCCTAACTCTGCGGTCAAATTCTTCAGTTACGAGCAAGCTTCAAAGTAGGGTTTCTGAACTCTGTCCAATTCAGCTTGTTATTTATTATTCTATTGGTTGATTGATTGACTTTTTTGTCTATCAACTCTGTATTTCCAAGTTTGATTGACTGTCATACTGAAACTGGTCAAGTCTTTTAGGCTAGTGTTCACTTGTTCCCTAAAATTTGATGATCAGTCCTTGGTTTGGTTATTTGAACTAAGAGAAGTTCGAACCAGTGTTGTCAAGGGTGGAAAGATACACATGAGGCCCTAGAGTATTATACTACTTGAGGCATAAGGCGCATAAAAGTGCTAGCCTGAGTGGAGTGAGGCACAGTATATATATGTGTATGTGTTTGTGTGCATGTAAAATAAGCTTAAGGTATCTATGATAATAACACCTCTAAATAATGGTCCAAAACTTGCAAAAATTTCTGTTTCTTTTGCTGGATAATATGCATGATTTTATTTCGGTTCTATGTTTGTTGTTGAGTACTCAAATATTGAGAAGTAGAAAATTTTTATATTATCCCTTTTTTTGCTACAAAAGGTACAATTAATGAAAAAAACTTTAAATAAATATGAAATTAAAGGGAACATTTATTAAGCGGTTTTTCTTTTGTACCTATCACTTGCAAAAAGATTGCCTAGGCATATAATGTTTGTGCCTAGAAAGGGTTTGAGGCATTAGTGTTGTCTGGCACTGAGGACAATGCCTAGGTGCGTGCTTTGAAAACATTGATTCAAGCTGAAAGTTTATGGTTAAGCTAGTGCAACCTATCAGACTTAAGTTTCCTTGGGGATACAATATTTTTTTTCCTTTTTACTGCTCCTACAACACATGTTCAGGTTTTGAACCAAAATAAATGCCTGTTTCTCTCGCTAATTGTTTCTTGTTATTTTTGTGACAGGGGAATCCTGTATTTGTATCAACAGCAAACTAACAATGGTATTATCTCTAATTTTATGTTCTTTATTTATATACCGATTTCCTTGAGATCTCGAATGTTCAGATAAGGGTTGGCCTTGTTCATTCTGCAGAAGATGCTCAGCTCACTCCTCTTTTACGCCTTGGAGCTGGAGCATGTGCTGGAATAATTGCCATGTCTGCAACTTACCCAATGGATATGGTACGAGGCAGGATTACTGTACAGGTATTAGCTATTAAACATTGTTTCATTTTGGAAGATGTTTGATGTTTCAATTTTTGTCTCAATCTATCTCAATGTTATCAAGATGAAAGATACTACTTTGTTGTAAACTTTGGAGATAAATTTGTTATTTCCTTGAATTATTTGCATTAGAAGAAAAATTGAAAATTGTTTTAATTCTTAATTCAATGGCGTGGGTTTTCCTTTAGTTTGGCTACCTAAGCAAATAATCATTTAATTGTATATATCACAGACAGAAAACTCTCCTTATCAGTACAGAGGGATGTTCCATGCTTTGTCTACTGTGTTGCGGCAAGAAGGCCCATGGGCATTGTACAAGGGTTGGCTTCCTTCTGTCATTGGAGTTGTAAGTTGTTCATTTTCTTCAATTTGGAGTTTCGTAGTTAAATGGTTTTAAATGTTATGTTTTGATGAGATCATCGCTTGGCAGATCATAAAGATCTTGTGAGAGAAAGAATTGGGGAGGGGTGAAGCATGCATCCTTTTTTCTTAGGGTCACACAACAATGGAACCTTCACTTAGTAAAATCAGCTTCTGGGGAATTTTAATTTGGACCTTTCTCTAGTTTTTTCAACCATTTTTTTATTTATCGGTCTTTAGTCAGTCAGCGCCAGCACATTCTTGTCATTTCTGCATAATGCCCGTATCCCCATTTTGGGTGGTTTAAAGTGATCAATGAGTTTGCTGTTGGTGAATAACTGTATTACCTGACAAAGGGATGTTTTACTTATTTGTTGTATCATTGATTTCAAACTCATTTTATGTTTGCAGATACCATATGTGGGTTTGAACTTTGCTGTCTATGAGTCTCTAAAAGATTGGTTAATTAAAAATCCACAATTTGGATTTGTTGAGGACTCTGAGTTGAGTGTGACAACGAGGCTTGCTTGTGGAGCTGCTGCTGGAACTGTCGGACAAACTGTTGCTTACCCGCTTGATGTCATTCGTAGAAGAATGCAAATGGTAGGATGGAAAGATGCTGCATCAGTTGTCAGAGGTGATGGTAGGCATAAGGCTCCTCTTGAGTATACTGGCATGATTGATGCATTCAGGAAAACTGTTAGGCACGAGGGCTTTGGAGCATTATACAAGGGTTTGGTTCCTAATTCTGTGAAGGTCAGTGCCTCTTGATTCCCTTACATTCACGTGTTGATAAATGCAGCTGTAACATTTTCTCCCATGTGATTGATATTATGAAAATAAATTTTAGTACGGATAAGATATAGCTCAGAAAAAGATTGCATAGGCAAGATTTTCACGCTATTCTTTTCTTAAACTGTCAGAAAAAGAATCCTTGTGTATTTTGCATTATCGTAGATAAAATATAGCAACGTTGTCAAGACCTTCCCATTAAGTTGTTATTTGGTATTGAAAAGAACCAATTTAATACCTTACAATTATTTTTTCATGGTTTTATTATATAATCAACGTTTTATCTGTACATTTGAATATGAAAATACTTCTTTTGATGGTTGATAATTAAGATTGTTTGTTCCCTTCTCTTTTTTCAGGTTGTACCTTCAATAGCTATTGCATTCGTGACATATGAGGTGGTGAAGGACATTTTAGGAGTTGAGATCAGAATATCAGAATAAACTGGTACCGATTCAACTTGATGTTCAAGAATTGTGTGTTATTTTTGTAGGTAAGGGGATATAGAGCAAAGATGAACTAGGGGATGGTCCTTTTAACCTTTTTTAGTTTCTCACCCAAAAAATAATGATTTTTGGAACTTGTATAAGCCTGCCCATAATTTATTCCCATGTTTCCTTGAAAACTCTGTAGCTTTTGGTCCGTGTCAATAAAATCTGAACTAGTATCAATGCGAATCTCGCATTTTCCTTCTAGGCCTTCTCCGAATGGTCGAAATGGTGTTATTTCTGTGGTGTAGTGAACATTTCATCTCAATAAGGAGACTGACTAGGCTTTTAATATGAAGTGAAATTCAACTTTACAAGTTGATTGCAGTTGGTTAAGGTCAAGGCACGTTATAATGGATCCGCTCACGGATTTTTTACTATGGTTTTTGTGCTCTATGTTACTGGCTTCCCTATATAACAATGTTGGATGCTTGCTGTGGATTTTTCTTTTGGCTGTTTTTGGAACTGTTCATAAATCCGTGAACTATGGTTGTGGTGTTATATTACTGCTATAGACTATGTTACTCCGACTCGTCACTCCTGTCAGATACAGTGTATCCGATGCACGAACGTTCAAGGGTTATGTTACGACATAGGTGTTTCAAGTAAAACGAGGGCAAGCAACAATGGCTTGCTAACGGAGAAGAAATTGCATCCACAGTGAAAAATTGTAGCTCGGAATCTTACCGTTGGCCGACCCAGTATATAGCACAAGGGCAAGCAACAATGGCTTGCTGCTTGCTAACGGAGACAAAGGAAATAAACATAGAATTCTGTTTCGAATAACTCATCAGTTAATTCTATTGCTAAGCCTTACAATCAGCTTGTTGTATTTTTTATTATTTTAGATGATATAGTATATAAATAAAATACATAAACTTCTCAAAATGTTAAAGACGAACATGGGAGGCGAATTAAGCAAGCGTGGTAAATAAGTAACAATAATATGCATTTTGGAATAGAGGGAATCTCACCATTTTCAAAGTAAATAAATATACATCTTGTAGATGTAATTGATCGAATACAAGATCTCTAGAAAGAACAATATTCCCTTTAACTATTGAGGTCGTTCGAATCCAAGATGTAATTGATCGAATACAAGATCTCTAGAAAGAACAATATTCCCTTTAACTATTGAGGTCGTTTGATGGATTCGTTATTAGATATAATATTAATGAAAAAAATAAGTGGAAAGGTTTATAACTCTTTACAGTTACCTATATATTAGATTGAGTTAAATGAAAATTTATCTGAAGAGAAAACAACTCAGTTCAAATTATGTATTATTGTATATTTAAGTTTAATAATTTAATACACTTGAAATTATAGAGTGATCTAGTGATAAAAAAAAATATTGTTTTCCTTGAGGAATTGAGTTCAAGCAACTATGCTTACAATATGTGTACTCATTGTTAATAGACTAAAAAAATTTCTAAGCAGATACTACTATTGTAATAATTCCAAACTATTTTTTGTTTAAAATAAAACAATCTAATAACTCAATTTCCTGGTTATAAAAGCCTTGCTCGTAGTTTTTAGCCAATGCATAAAAAACAAAGATGTTATAACTTTAGTCAAAGCGTTTATAGTCCAACTGTTAGGATAATTGCCTTCCATGCAATAGATTTGGGTTTGACTCTCGGCAAACGTAATGTCTGTTTTGATTTTTGCATTCTTCACTCGAGCAAAATCATAGTAGCAGTTTTTAACCCATAAATCCATGTACTGGCTTAATGATAAAAATCCACAGTACAATGACATACAACATTTGACTATTGACATTTCAGAAACTCAGTTGAACAATATTCAAATCTTCTTATATAAAATTCCCATACCAAATCATTCCATTTTCATATCTTTTGACTAAGAACCATACTCGATCATGGCTACTTTACAAGGTCCATTGTCCAAGTTGTTTGATATTATATAGTATGTAAATACAACCCAAGCAGTACCAAGTGCTTGCTTTGTGCTGTAAACAATTATTACACATCAATAACAACCATTTCATGCTATATACCTCAAAATGTACCCACCATGAAACACATTAATTACCAAAATTTATAAACAGACTAAGTGGGTATATATTATGTTCTCTCTGGAGATGAAGCTGGTGAAATCTAGAAGTAAGTTGGCCTCGGGGTCGATGGGCAACCTACGGATCGAATTAGATCCTCCAAGGCTAGCACATGAAACTTCGGGGGTGAATTCAGTGCGATGTTGTCGACTCGGTGCTCATATAAAAACTCAAATTATTCTACAAAGTATTTCCTCCATTTTTTTAAAGAAACCATATAAAAAAAACGATCCAAAAAATACAAATGCGGAAACCTATAAATATCAAAATTTAGCTCCCTGTAGAAGATGTCCGGAAACTCCTCTCTCAAGGCCCGAATAGCGAAGCTCGTTTTCACGGAATAATTATGCTTCTCCTCTTCCTCTTTGTCGTGCTTCGAACCTCGCTTCACCGGAGCTAAAAACTGTCCGTACAAACTCAAACTTTGGCTCAAATCTGAAACCGTGCTCTGAGAAATGACATGTGACTTGCCACATCATCTGTCATTAGTTTTGCTACTGATAGTGACCGAAATGAAAGCGAGTTAAAAGTTTAATAATTTTAATGTATGTTTTAAAAGTTTAGTGATTAAAATGCAAGTATCCTAAAAGTTTAGGGACTACCTTCATAGTTTACACTTAACGTGCTTAAGACGATGTTGACAGGTTGAAGTTCAATTTGTTAATGGTCAATTTGAGTATTAATTCAATTGATTCAAACCATAAAATATATTAACATCTCTTTGTTACAGATTGAATTAATATTTAAATTGATCAAATTATCACATAAATTGATTTAATTCTAACAAAAACCGATAATTAAGTGTGTGGCTTAAAAATTAAAACAAATGGACCGTATAATCGACATCAAATTAAATTCAATGAACCTAATGATATTAAACATTAAGTTCAGTTTATTACATATCATTTTCAATAATAATTCAATTATTTTGTACAATAAAATATATTAAAAGTGATTAATTCGTGGCGGATTAAATTAAAATTCGGATTTAATTATTTAGGATAAAATGTTTAAAGTAAATAATTATTTTAATTTTGAATAATTTATTTAAATTATTTTTTGTCCACTTGAATTCAATTTGAGTAGAATATATTTTTATTCATCACTTGATCTAATTTAGGTTTAGAAAGTTTCATCATATTCGAAATTTGACCCGATTTTAAGTAAAAACTCCACCCGACCCAATAAATATATATATATATATATATATATATATATATATATATATATATATTACTTTCATTAGGTAAAATAGAGACCTAGTTGAAAATATATAGAGATGGGTATTATAACAATTATCCCTAAATATATAAATATCAATTATAATATTATTTACGAGTCGAGTTGAGTATTTTTCACCCTAAGTTCGATCTAACCGAATTGATTTTTCTTAAAAATGAAACAACTTTGTAAGATCGAATCGAATCAAAACTTATAGAGTTAATATCAAATTATAATTTTGATTGACCATAGACTTGATTAATTCTAACAAAGTGATAAAAGAAGTGCGTGCATGGATTAAGAACTAAAACAAATGAAGTTTAAAATCAACATCAAATTAAATTCAAAGAACCTAAAAGATATCAATTATTAAATTGAATTCATTACATGTCAATTTAAATATTAATTAAGTTGTTTTGTCAATAAAATATATTTAAAGTGATTAGTTCATTGCAGATTGAATTAAACTTAACAAATAAATACTACCGATCAGTTGGTCTAATAGGTTAAGACATTAGATCCCTTAAGTAAGGCCAGATGTTTGAATTCTGACGTTTGCGAATGGAGTAAACTGAATTGGGAGAGTCGCCCTTACCTCTGCAGTACCCGATCTAAATTAGTCGATCAATAAATCGGATATCAATAATTATATCAAAATATTTCAAATTTCACGCTAAAATCAAATTGGTATATGGCGGATTTGCTTTTTTACGGTTAGACAACTACCTAATTTCTTTTAAAGATGCGTGCCTAATTTCAGACCTACCCTTGTGGTTCATCTCACTTTTCAGAAATTATTTATCTATTTATTTTTAATTTAATAACATCAGATAATATTTGAATAATTACAAAGAAAAAAATGTAAAATTAATTTAAAATATAATAATTAAAGTAAAGTAATCACGTTAATATATCTTTTTTCTTAAAATCGCCCAATAATATAAACTAATCACTAAATAATGAAATAAAAATATAAAGGAAACGGTAAAAAATTTAATTCAAAGCAATCACATTTAACTGGTTCATCAAGTTGTTCATCTTTGTTCCCTCATATTTTCTTAGGTCATGTGTTCTAGACTAACTCGGAGCACTCTCCTTCCTTCCCATGGAGTTCCCCCCCTTCCCCTCCCCTCTAAATAGAATTAGGATTAGATTTAAAATTTGTTAAAAAAATAAAATAATAATAATAGATAATTCATTAATTCATACAAATAATAGATACAAACAAAAACCATTTTCGAGAGTGGAGGATAAACGCAATCGACACTGACATAAAAATATATATAACAATGATGATATGTTGACAAACTAACTTTACCGCAATTCAAATATGATACATACAGGGTGATTGCGAGCAACTATAAATATAAGATAATCAATATAAAGGTCCAAAATAATGTGTATATAATAATTTAAATAAGATAATCATAAGTAAAAATGAAGCACGTTATAAGAGTAGACAAAGAATGTGTTATAAAAATAAACAAAAACTATTAATTATTTTCGTACGGAAAGGAGAAGATTGATTGAAGAAATAAAAAATTTAAACTAATGGTTTAGAGTATTGATCAAAGTCATTTTTTACTGTTGAGTTAAAATCTCATGAGTTTTATAAAGATTTTAAAAAAAGTTAAATTAATAATGGTAAAAATCGATATTTTAAGTTATCTAAGAAGGCATTGAAAAATAATGGAAAGTTAATAGGCCACATCACCTTATTATTTTCTATTTAACGTCTTTTTTTAATATTTTATGATGATTATATGTAATATTTGTTTAAAATCTTTCTTAGTCATTGACAACTCACGCACACCCTATAGAGGCAACTGCTAGAACCTGAGATTTCTAGAAAGAATAATATTTCCTTTTAGTATTGAGGTTGCTTGATGGAATATTGATTTAACATGTCAATAATCATAAACAAAGCAATTAAAAAAATTAAATGGTCAAATTAATGTTTTTAAAGTTTAATGACCAAAACAAGAACATAATCAAAGTTGAGTGATGAAAAGCATAATTTAGCCTAAAATATGTCCATTTTAAGAAGTTTGGGAATCGCAGACTTCCGTTGTGAGTTGCTCCCAACTTCATCATCCGTAGCCACAACCTTACCTGACCCACCAATTAAACCCATGCATAAATATCACACAATCCTTCGCATTTCCCACGCCGTTTTCCTACACAACCAAAAGCAAAAACTTCTTTCGTTTCTCTTCTTCTTCATGGGGATTCCCACTGCTTACTCAAAATTTGTCTTACCAGAACCCATCCTTCACGCGCTTTCGATACTCGATCTCATTCTCATCCGCCTCGGACTCTCCGATTCCCTCCTCCAACCGGACATGATTTGGCCTGATAACCGGATCCAAACAACATCCGAACCCGCTCCATTGATCCGGATGAAGAGCCTTCCCGTTAAGAAGTTCGAGGAGCTTGTTGTCGGAGGGGACCCGCCAGAGAATTGTGCTGTTTGCTTGATCGAGTTCGGAGGAAGGGAAGAGGTCGGGTGGTTGAAGAACTGTAAACACGTTTTCCATAGGGCATGTTTGGAGCGTTGGATGGACCATTATCACAATACGTGCCCGCTTTGTAGGGCACCATTGTTTTAACAAGTTTATGATATTATATCATAATACTAAATTACGATTGCATCATAATATAACGATCGTATCATAATGTTTATTATCGTGATACTGCAATCGCAACTATAATTTAGTAGTATGGTTTATAAATAGGTTTCTAAGTTGCATAAGAATTGTTTCTTTATGGAGTAACGTGATTCATAACAAATGAATTTGAATGTATTAAAAATAGGATAAAATATACAAATGGTACATCAATTATATGATACAACTTTATTGAGTCTCTTGATTATTAAAAATTACAGAATGATCCTTCAACTATAGTGAGTTGTTTTGTTGAGTTTCTTGACTATTAAAAGTTACAAAATGGTCACCTGACTATACATTATGTTTCAAACTCGTCTTTTTCCGTTAAAAAATTGATGACAGTCTGAACTGGACGTTAACCTGCTAACTGAGATATGATAAAATTTGATTTCATAATCTCAAACGACTATCATAAATCCGTCAGTATGTTAACATCCAACTCAGATGACTGTTAAATTTTTAAATAAAAAGGATGAGTTTGAAACATAATGAATAGTCGGGTGACCAACAAAGCAATTCCCTATAGTCGAAGATCATTTTGTAACTTTTAATAGTCGAGAGGCTCAATAAAGTAATATTTTATAGTCGAGGGACCATTTATGTACTTTACCCTTAAAAATAATGGTGAAGGTGAAGTTAAAGGCAAAGGCAAAGGCAATTTGAGCTTCTTACTAAAGTCGGAGAGGTGGAGTAGCTGAATCCCGAAAATTGTAACACCCCAATTTAGGGGCTAAAATTAAGAAATTATAAAGTGGCGGATTTAATTGATATTTTGAAAGAAACATTGGGGATTAAATTGTAAAGTTTTAAAGTTGGCAGACCATTTTATAAAATGCAGGAAATTCAGTGGCTAAACCCATGATTTAACCATTTCTTATATATGATGAATTATAAGCTCCTCCCCGTGCGCATGTTTCATATTTTCCAGATTTCCCTTCTCCAACAACCCAACTTCCAACTCCGATCTACTCGCCGTCCGACCTCCAAATGACGAGCCGAAACCACCATCGTGTTCGTTGTCAATCGAGGAACAAAACCCCTCAAACCTTTCGTCGTGAATCATCGCCGTTCGTCGTGAATTTTAGTCGGAAGTATCGTCGGTAATAACTCGGTTTTAATTGGTTTCTCATCGATTCACGACGATCGGGTCATCTGTTTACGACACCTCCCGCACCATCGTGTTCGTTGCATCGTTCCGAGTTTACCGGTGTCATCCTTGGTCTCTGTCGACGGCGGCGCGTGAGGAGGTGAAGCGGTCAAAGTTTCCGATTTGTTGAAATCGAGCTCTCCGCCGTTCAAAATTGTGAACCGAGCTTTGTAAGTATCTCGAAATCGCTCAAAATAATTTTTAGAAAATTTTCCAGGATTTTAGCACTGTTCACGCACCCCAACGTGCCGCCACTACGCGTGGGGAAGAAAAAAAATGACCGGTTTGACCGGTTTTGGTGCATAGTTGACCGGTTTGACCAATCACAACCCGACCCGACCCGTTGACCCGACCCAACCCGTTTACCTGACCCGTTGGCCCGACCTGACCCGTTGACCCGTTGACCGTCGTTGACCACTGTTGACCAAAACTTTGACTGGCTTTGACCGGGCATTAAACGACCTTTGACTTCGACCGAGTATACCTACCCTGACATTTTTCGACGTTCCAAATCCGATTCAGCTGTCCGTTTTTCAAAATTCGAACCCGAAGGCCTCGAAATTACCGGTCAAACCCGTTGACTTTGATTTTGACCAAAAATTCCAAATTTTTGAAAAGTCACATTTAATGCTTTCGACGTCCTGAATCCGAATCCGAAGTCCGTTTCGCCAAATTCGAACCCGGTAAGCCATCTTTCACTGATTTATCACCTAATTTGATCCGTTTATCGTAATTAAGCTCCATTTCTGATATAATTTATGTTGATATGTATATGAGGAATTATTTGAAGTTGAATTGAAGATCAAAGGCATTCGAATGGAATTTTTATGGTCGATCGGTATTGCACGGAAATCGAGGTAATACTTTACTACCTCTTTATGCTTTATGGAACATGTTGATATTGGTAAATGCATGAATAAGATAATGTTGGTCACTTTTGGGGAGTTGAATACGGATCGAATGACTAAGATAAGAGATTGATAATTGTTAGAATTACATTACAAGTTTGTGATTGGTGATAAAGAAATCAGCTCTGGATTTGTAACTTATATTTTATATCATCAAGGGTTAAATGTTAAAGATACTTGGATGAAAAATTATGAGAATACTCCGATATGGTAAAATTACAAAATTACCCTTATGTTAGAAAATGATAAGAATTGCCCTGGAAGTTGGTTAATAACTCTGAAAAGACATATTGATCCGATATAACTACTGATGTGCATAAGAAATATTAGTTTTATTTGGAAATTATGGATAACCGGTTTTAATCCTATGAGAGTTTGTGAATGAATCATTTCAAAATCAAAGAATGTTCGGGAAAGCAATTGATCATAGGATCTCTAAATTATAATTATTTTAGTTAAGTGCTAATATTGAAATTATCTGGTTAAGAAATTACGAAAATGCCCTTGAGAGATAAAATAGTCTGAATTGACCCTGAATGAGAGAGTACTTTGAGGATTTATACTTTATTTGATTAAGTACGAATTTAATTGTTAAGATCCTGTCTTTGTACAGAAAAATTTATAATATTCCGTTTGTAAAATCTGAGAAGACACTTGACCCGAAAATATTCGAATAAGGAGTAAATACTTGAAGAGTAATTTATCGGAGGTATTCTGCTGACAGAATTGTTCGAAAGGACTGAAGTAAATGATAAGATTGAATTAAATAATAAGATCGGATGGAAGGAAATGATTGAAATAATCTAGAATTAAAAATGACCAAATTACCCCTAGAATGGAAATGACTCAAGAATGTCACCAAGCTCAGGAATGAATGGATATACTCAAGCTTTGAAATGAATAGAAAAAAATGTTAAGCACCAAAATGACCAAAATGCCCTTATGACCTAGAATAAGTAAATGTCTTGGATTAATTAAGAAATCCAAATAAACATAGATGTTGTGCTTCCAGTAAAAGTTGTGGAACGCAACTTAAGTGATTAACCAACATTAGTACTATATCATTACCTGAATGATATAAGTATCACTTGAATGTTTGTTCATCTTCTCAAATTTGGATCGATGATAATTCTGGAAGTACTTGGCGCAGCTCAACTCTAGAGCGCATACAGTACTAATAAGTGGGTAGTCGTTAGTCAAATCAACCACGGATACCAGAATGACTTTATTATATGAATAAATTGAAATGAAATGAAGTACAACGTGTATTTGAAATTCAGAAACGTCTGAATTATTCTGGAAAACTTTAAAGTAATCGGGATAGACTTGCTTACCAAACGAACTAAGTAACATCAATGACTAAGGATTAAATAGGTGATTTGATGAGTTTGGAAACACTGTTGAACTTACATGATGAATTGTCATTATGGGTTATGAGCCATGGATCAAGTACGTCAGTATTTCCTGATATTGTTGAAACGTGGAAATGAAATAAAGACCGTTGGAAGATTTATTCAGTGATGATTATGGGGATGATCTATGGATCTACACTATGGTATTAAAGAGTGAATACACTGGAAGGATAATGAATTGACTTGTTGACATGCATCAGTTTGAGAGTTGTGTAACTCGAGTTGTTTGATAATATGATCGATAGTCGTAGATTGTAAATGACTTGAATCTTCGATTCTATATTTCATCTAAAATCACTTCGGTCATGTTTGAAAAAAAAAACAAGTAACGCAGATGAAAAAGATTCTAAATATCTCATTTGGTTCAATTGGGCTGAAATCCTATGAATTTAAAGTATATTCCTGAATACCCCTGATTGTTTGGGTAATGGAATCACTCGCAGTAAATCTAAATTTAGAATTATTATGTATAAAGGTTCCTGAACATTTTCCTAAATCACACGAAAATATAGTGGGATTCTAATGTATCAACATTAAATGTCTGGCTAGATCGGTTAGTAATCGATTCTCCTCAATAGGACCTTGTTCCAGGAATTCGATCAAATTTCATAAGTTTCATGTTATCCAAAATGATAACTACAATGGCCTCTGGAAATACTTGGATTCTCTAGTGTGTTCCCTACTTATTACTGAACTGTTTTATTGGTTTTAATATGTGGTACACCGAATTCATTGGTTATTGTTTTATGGATGCACCAATTTATGGAATATGACTGCTATCTAATTTTTGTTTTGAAATGGTATATGATTACCATGTTTTTGGATTTATGGAATTTATGCCACGGTGCAATTGAATTTTGGAATTGAATTACGATGGAATAGCTCTGATCAAGCTAAATGGGCCTAATGTGACTCTTGAGGGCCCCAAGATGTTTCATTAGGTCGGTTTTCCTTTGCTGTGTGCTTAGGGTAAGCTATATGGACTTATTGACTTGGGCTTAAGGATACAAGCTTCATAGCCTATCCTTAAGCCGGCTTTCTTTTTGCTATGTGCATAAAGTAAGCTATATGGAAAATAATTTTGGGAACTACTGATGGTGTACCAGAAAAGGGTTTAAACTATGATTTTCAAAAGTTAAACTCTTTTACGAAATTGTGAGATTTACTGGACTATGATTTGTACCTATTATGATTTTATTATACTGTTGGAACACACTAGACATCTTGTTCGATCTCCTGAAAATGTCATACTTTGAAAGGTTTCTTATGAACTGAGATTCATAGCTTCTACTCGATGAACTTCTAAGGGAAGCCCAAATTATTCTGCAAGCTGGTATACGTATGATTCAATAAGGAAATTATATGGCTTTCCATTTATCTATATGTCATGTAGCATCATCTGGTAGTTCTGTATTACTGAGCTTTCCAAAGCTCACTCTATTACTCACCTTTTCAGGTTAAAACAATTGTACCAGTGCATCTATCGACTTCAGTAAGGGAGTTCTTCCGGCGTGGTTGCAGAGTATGATACTTGTGATTAGGGGGAATGTAATTGTATTTTGATTTATATACGAGTTTGGAAATCTGTTTTATTT